TTGATTGTTCTAGTTTCATTGTTTTTTTTTTCTTTTTACGTATATCATCCATATTGTTTATTCGTCTCTCGTTTACTATCTTTTAAGTGGCCGGCAATAAAAAAAGATTCCAGAAAATAGTTTTTTTTTTGTCTCCCTATATTTTGCTTGTTAGCAGCTTTTTTTTCTGTTTAATGTTTTATATCTATCCAAGAAATTTCCAACGATAAGTTACAGGACGAATTGACAGCAACCAATCATAAGCTTGTTATAGGTGATTTTTTCCCATATGTTTCAAAATATTAAACAAACATTCTCATTTTTATTTCACCAAACTATTTTATTTTCAGGTCTAATACATGTAAAAGTATCGCCTTTCATTTTGATCATTTAAGTATATACGTATAGAAGGAAAACTTTAAAAAATATTCGATAAAATCACTATCAAAATTTATCTTTTTTCAACCTAAAAAAGAACTCACACAGTTACACAATGTTAATAAAAAGAATCTATTAAATAAATAATTAAAAATTTTGATGAAGATACACTATTGAAAAATATTGAATATGTAAGAAAAAATGTTGTAAGGCTTTGAATAAAATCAATAAGTGATTGAAATGCTGTTTTGGAAAATCAACTAAACATATTTAGATTGGGTGAAGATGACCTGAAAATAAATCTTTCAAAATTTATTATTTATCTCATTCTTCATATTACATTCAATCGAATTGTTAAAATTCATTCGATTGTTATGGAAATACCTGAAAATAAAATAGATATAATTTTATTTCTTTGATAGAAAGTAAATTCAAAAAAACTGTAAAATAATTTGTTAAATCGTCAAGCCATTGATTTTAATAATACTAAAAATAATCAAACGATGTAAACATTTGCATAAAATCAATTCTTTTTCTTCTTTGAAAGAAAATATTTCACAGAAGAGACATCAATTGAATTATCGTTTGTCATATTTTCATTAGATTTGACTTTTAAGGTCAATAAATTTATTTCTGATCAAATCTGTAACCTTTTTTTGGAACATCAATTATTCAAAAAATATAAGAAAGTAAAAATATGAAGTTAATTAAAGTTTCTTTTTCTTACTAAAGTCAAAAGACGTGTCGATGACTAATGCATGATTGCTTTTAACAAACATAAATGTAATTTTGTATTTTTAACTTGATGATAGACTCTCTTCTACTTTTCTTTTTTGTATTATTGATTCTTCTCAAGAGAAAAAGACGCTAAATAGTTGAATGAATATCATTATAAAAAAAATTATTTCCTATTATGTTTGCTTGAAAGAAAATCAAGGTCAAAACAGGTAACCATAACATATAAAAAGAAATGTTTTATGAAAAGAGACATCTACTAACGATTTTTTCTCTTTCAAACGCGTTTTTTGCTTCTGAATGTGAATAGTTCTGTCAAGAACATTATTAGTAACTCTGTGCAATATTCGTACGGCATAATAAAATAATTTTTACTAAAATAAAAATAGTCATATCTATTTGGACTATTTCGATTTATCTACAATCAATAACTTTGTCTTTCGATAGTATGTAATAAGTTCTAACTGAATCTAAAAACTCAATTAATTCTTTAGCTCTTAGTACTAACTTCTTCAATAACAATTGTTGAAAAGAAAACGTTTCATTGGCTCAAGTCGCATTGTTTGATCATATTTTAAGATCATTTGAATTCTCTTCATAATTATTGGCATCTTTATCAAGCACAGTCAAATATGACCATCGCGTAAAGCAATGTTTGTATGATAGAATAATTCTTTGATTATCAGTTCACATACTTGTGTCACCGTAACTGGTTATTATTGAACAACAAGTGTAAATTTAGCACAAATACAATTTTTTCGATTAGAAAAATATTTCTTATGTTGTAATTATGATATAAATTCATAATTTCGATATCGTTGACATTCCAATGTACATTGCTAACGTTGAGTAGTATTTAATAGAAGAATACCAGATAAATAAAAAGGAAAAGATTGTTTAAGTTTATTATTTCTAGCAACATTAATAGCTTGATTTACTTTTGTTCTCTGTGAACTTGTATTCCTTTTACAGATAACGAATGATTACGGATACATCGATTATTATAAACATAACAGTTGATAGGCAAAAAAAAGCCGATTGACAATTTAAATTTTAAAAGAAAAAATAAATGGAAACTCTTTCGCATTTCGAAAAAAATTTCAATCACTAAGAAAGATTATCTTTTTATTTGCTTTTTTTGAGCTTGATAATGTACATATACGGCACTATAACTGTCTAAATCGAAGTACTATTCCATATGTTTCATAACAACCGACATAAACGCCTATAAAACATATTTTTCTATTATCAACTTTTCATCGCTCGTGATCGTTGTCAATAAACTGAATTCTATTCTTAGAAAGAAGTTATTAGAGCCGATATATTTCATGTGAAAATGGATAACATAGCTTCTTCGTGAGATATTCAGATAAAGTTATGGGTTTACATTGTCAAAGTCGAATTGAAATTTTAATAAAGCCATTTATTGTTCTGTCTCTCGTACGTTAGATTCATTATATTAATATCACACAAAAGTCTTCATTTTAATGAATAACTCTGTAGATATAATGTGAGAAAGTATCGAAATTGCATAATAAACAAGTTCAAACAAATATATTTCGATAAAAAAACTTTTCGATATTTTTTTTTCTAACATTTTTGTGGTATTTGGGAAATATTTTCAATTAATATCTTTAATATGTTTTTACATCAGACATTTTGTTTTTTCAAATAAAATAAAAAAAAAAGATGAAGTCTTTAAGATATTGTATTGAAACGCTATATCAAAACCAAAATTGAAGTAGAACATATGCTCCATCCGTTAAGGTTACAATTTACAGGATAGAATGAAGAAAAGAAAACTACGTTAGCACAATCCCCATGAGACGAAAATATGAAACACAATGGAACTTTTGATAATGTAAAAGAAAGGATTAATCAATATGTTTCGATTTATGAATTTCTACCAACTATTAATGCATTCCGTTCATGAAACATATTAATCAGAATATATTGCATTGAGTGTGAAAGAAAAGTAATGAACAACTATCATGCTAATCCTGCAGTGGACATTGATCTTGCAGTTTTGTTTATCACGGTCTGTGATGATTCCTTAATGATGCCTGTCATAAGTCGTTTCTAACATGTTTGTCATATCTTTAGGAGGAAGAGCGAGGGGGGGGGGGGATGGTCCAAATTTGCATCGTTATACTTCAACGCTGTCTTTAGATCGTATTTTACAAAAATAATTAGTAAAGAACATAGTGACAATCATGCATGTGTCATTTTGTATAAATTACTCTTCTCGAATTGATAGATGTCGATTTTGTATTAGAACGAATCTCGTGATTGCATTGATCTTTTGTCATTACATCGTTTCTCTCATTGTAGTATATTCATTAAACAATGTTTCTATTTCCAAGATTATATTTTTAATTTGTGAAACTATCAAAAAAGAAAAGGAGACGAGCATATTCAACTTCAAGCCTGAAGTGTAACTATTCTTTTCCATTTTTAAACGGTTTATTATATCACACTGGACGTTCAGTTTTTTTTTTCATTCTTTGTCAGAAAAAAACCGGAAGCAGGCACTGTAGAACTCTATTTAGATTGGATGATGTAAGCAAATCTATTTTAAATGATCTACTCTATTCAACATGATTACATTAAAAACAATGAAATTTCACAAAATATCGAAAGTATTTTTAAACATAAGTTTTATCGTCTTTTTTCTTTCTTTCACACATATCCATCTTTATTTACATGAAACATTGTCATAATAATAAACATGCAACAAATAACTATTGTCGTATTTTTTGTCATGGAATCTAGGTGTTAAAAAGTAATGTTTTATGAATAAATTATCGAAAGTCTGCAATATTGCATTGTGATTTTTGTCTATTCTTGTAAGAGGATGTGATTCAATGTGCAGAATTCAATTTTTTTTGTCTCTGAATAATGACATACCCATATAAATGATGTACGATTAACTACGTTCAGAAGATTTGGAAGAATTGTACGATGGTGAAAATAGAAATATGATGTTTAGATTCTCCTGTTTCCGATAAGAAACGACCATTGTTGAACAGAGCCGAACGTTTTAACACGATCGTTATAATACTGCTTCAAAGTTCCTATCATTTTTCGGTCGAAAACGACATCTTTCCTTCTGAAAAACCAGAACTTGATGTCAAAATCATTGATCTGGATGTATATATTTGAATCTGAAATGATTAGAATTAGTTGAATTTGGATTTGGTTTAGCATCAACATTCCCTTAATACGTTGTAAATAGTTTTCCTGTACGTAAAATAAAAGTACACAACTTCCTTTTAAATGATCAGCTCATTTACAACATGATATGACCAAAGTCGAATAAGCTTCCAAAACAAAATTGAACGTAAATCAAAAGCAAAATCTAATAATTGATATTAACTATTGAGTGAAATTTTTCTTTTTATTATATGATGATAGTTTACGATAATATTATTTATGTAAATTCAATTATAAGTATGACTTCGTATAATGTACGAGGGTATGCGTTTGCAAAAGAATTATATAGGAAATCTATTTCTTAGAAAAAAAAGAACAACGTCTTACTTTTGTCTTCAGACTACTTATTTTCATGTTATTAAAAAAAAGATTTACTGATTGATTACTGTAATGCTGATTTAAAATTTTTTTTCTCAATCTCGAAGATTAGAAAATGAATAAAAGAGGAACGAATCGATCATAGTCAACATCAAGATATGAAAACAGAAATAGACTTTTACGTTTTTTTTTAATAGATCTTTTATTTTTCCCAACATTCGCAAGAGGGCGCTGTGCACTATTGAATACACACTGTTCACTAACACTAGAGGTTGAAATCAAAGATAACCTTGGTAACTAACTAAATAATGTCTTTTTCTATTGATAATCCAATAATTCTTCTCTTAGTTTCTTCTTCAGTCAGTTAAAACAAAAGAATGTCGAGTAACTCAATGATTGATCATTATAATTCTCATGAAAATTTCGATAACCTCAATCCATCAAGTCATACAATTCATACTAACACATCTAATAACAATGAATATAAACAAAAATTACTTGAAAAAGTCGAAAATGCTAATAGAAATGGTGATTCATCATTTCTTGATACACTTGAAAAACTTCGTCGCGAACAACGTGTACAATTAGAACAAGTTGAACGGGATTATTACAATCAAACGACAACATCATCAAATGATATACCAAACTATACTCAGGAAAAACAACTACAAAAAAACCATGAAACAATAGTAACAACAAAACCACCCTTACCAAAAACATCAAAACAATTACCATCACCTATATTTTTAACTGAAGAACGTGCTCAACATCATATACATCATCGTCCGATGTCTGCTAATATCATTCAAAGACATGATGATGAAATAGCTTTTTGTCCACATCGAACAACTACTGATGATACAACAAGAACTGTACATGATCTAACAACTAATCATATTAAAAATCAAATACAAAGTCTGTGGAATGAATATGAATTAGATGATTATTTAGAACAGAGAAAGTTCGTAATGAAATAAAAGATTTTATTTGATATTGATTTGTTTGTCTTATTCCTTTTATTCAGAACTCGTCGTTTACCAACAGCAGCTAGTTGGGCTGGTCGTATTACAATTCCAGCACCGTTTGCTCTTACAAATAGTATGAATATGGATAATATACATCGAAGAAAATGTATGAACGAGATAGAAGCAGCAAAATTACAAAAAGAAGTTGATGAAGAACTTAATCTTCGTCGTTCTTTTAAAGGTAATTTTTACTTAAAATAACCTTGACCATATCAATACTATTTATAATTGACATGCAAACTGTTATATATATTTTTTTCTTTACATAACTGAATTAATTATCTTTCTGAATTGTCCATTCTTTTGAAGAATCGACTATTTCATATCGAAATATAGTATATATTCGAAAAAGTTACCATAGATATTATGGAAACAGAAATAGTATCGCATTTACGTTTTTCTATAAAGGCATCATTTTTCATATCAGAATTTTCTATGAAAGAAAATATCAAATGAAAATATTATGAAAACAACTGAGATGTGTCCTATTGAATGTATTATTAATTGTCACATGGGAATGCCTAACATGGTAACCTTCTCAAGTGATCAACGTCGTTTGCCTCTATATTTTGCCAATATGCAGAAGTTCACTGGAGTAGTGCAATCTTCAAAGATTTTCTGCTGATATTCAAACTTGGTTGAGATAACGACTTTTTAGTTGAGTCTTTCTACGAAAGCTAAAATTTCGAAACAAATTATGTTTGACAATTTCAAGCTGAAACTTGGTATACACGAAGGCTTTGATTAGACTATCTGATTCATATAGTTTCATCAGTTTTGAATATCACATTGATATGATATGAATTTCTCAAAATATCTTTGCTTTTCTTTAAGTGTCGTGCGAAGTATGAAAGTATTGAAAAAGGTATATCTTGGCCATATAAGTTACGTTACTCTAGTGATCTCCTATATATTGGCAAAATATGTAGGAGACCCAGAGCGAATCACTTGGGAAGATTGCTTCGTAAATGTTGATGAAGTAAATCGAGCTCGGAACAGTATTAAAAGATAAGAAAGTTAATCATAATTCATCTGAAGATCGTCAAACAAGATATCTTTTACTAAAATCTAAGTCGAATACATATTACGGGTAGATAGTAGAAATTTTCTATTACCTTAATTTTTCTGTACGAGTAGTAATTTGTGAAAGTCTATTAGAAATCTAAATTTCACTTTGACTTGATTAAATGATTTATGGATAATATGAGAAACAACTATTTTTCTTCACTACTATATTCATCACATGTCAACTTTTCTATTTTAGCTAATGATGTTCCGGGTTATGTTCATATGCCATTATATGAACAATTACAAGAAGAACAACGTATTCGTCGTGAACAAGTTCATCAAATGACTAGAGATTATTTATCATCAATATCGAAACCATTTGGTTTTGATGCACGTGAAAAAGCTAAAACAATATTACGACGACATTCATATTCAGCAGGTGATAGAATTCGATCAGGATTCCAATTTAAAGCCAAACCATTACCAGATTTTTATTATCAAACACGCCAAGATAATGAACAGTATGAAATGAAAAATTTTCTTTTCTTTTCTTCGTTTCAATATTTGAACTCTTTTTTTTTTAGAATGAAAGAACAATCACTTTATCGTTCAGTTAGAAGAGAAACACGTGCAAAAGAATTACTTCGACAATCCCGTTTACCATTCAGTAATCAAAAACCAAAACGAACAATTCGTTCAATGAGTGTAAATGATTTAGCACGTATTGGCTATGAAGAATATTCATTTAAACCAAAAACAAATGGTTATTATGTTCCAAATTATGATAAAATTCATTCAAAATTTTTACGTACTATGGAACAAAAAAAACGTACACGATCACCAACAAGATGTAAACCATTTTTATTATATACAAATTTAATTCCATCAAAAAAAGATAAAATTCTTGATGATATTCGAAAAGATGAAAAAATTCAACATTCTCGAACATTTCAAATAAAAGGAAAACAAATGCCAACAAAATCAGCATCATTAACAAATTTATCAGCAAGTTTTCAACAATCTGAAGCAATACCAACAAAAACAACAGAAGCACAAAGATTAAGAGAAGCTGTTGGAAAGAAAAAAAGACGACAAGAAGAATTCAAAAATAAATTTGAAGAAACTTTTCAAAGATCAAAATCAGCAAAAGAAAGAAAAGTTAGAGAAACAATTCGTGAAAGAGCTAAATTACAAGATCAAGCAGTTGTTTTGAAAGCAAAAAAAGATGAAAAAGTGAAAAAACAAAATTTTTATTTTAATTATTATTTCCTTGTTTTTTTTTCTATTTTGTTTAGGCTCGTCTAAAGCGACAAGATATGCGTAAAAGTGAAGATGATTATGCTAAGAAATTAGATGAAATAAATGAACGTCTTCAACAGCGTCCATTATTACTTGAACAAGATTTAAAACAAAAAGCTGTTCGAGAATTAGAAAGAAAAATTAAACATGCTATGTCATTAGCAAATGTTACAGAACAAGATTTAATAAGACAACAATTTAATACACCGAATGCTAAAGTTACTACAACAACCAATGTTTATTCGTCATAAGAAAATAGCTTTGTGATATTCTTATTTTACATGAATATGTTAATAATAAGCATATATGTTTAAATTCTTTGTATCAAATAAAGAAACATAACAAAAAAATTTTGTCGACATATATATGTCACGCAAGAAAACTCAAGAAAAAGAGTAGATGAATTGTAAAGTTCGTATTCATAGATTAACTAGTTTTCGTCTAGATTTTTTTCTGTTATGCGGAGATTATTAGTGAAGTAGTTTTATCATAAGAAGATGACTATAAGTTAAATATTGAAAATTAGTTCTGTGTATATCTTATGATCATTGAAAAATTATCTAAGAAGAAACTCATTTGACTGATATCCTTTGTTTGAGCTTATACTTTGATCATCGATAAGACTAAGAATGTCAATAAAACTCCTAAAAGTATCAGGGTTGTCGATTTTTTTTAAGAGTGGGGGGGGGGGGGGCGGCTAAAATTTTGGCAGACAATGTTTTCATTTTTCTGGCATGAAAACTGTTGACCGGGGAGGAAGAGGGAAGAAACGACACCAGTTTTCACTAGGTCATACCGTACCCCTCAGCGGGCTCCCATACAATCAGTCATTTCTCCCAGCAACCGTAAAATATTGGCAGACAGTATTAAAAATTTTCGCAGACAGAGACACAATTTTGGGAGGGAATAGCACCCCCACCCCCCTAATCGGAAAGCCTGAAGAGTATTCATGTCATTAGACCTTTCTTTACGAGTTTTACACATTTCATTGAATTTTTAGCTGTTCAACGGATACTCCGAAAACAAACCGCAAAAAAAGGAATTTCCAGTTGAATTGTTTTCATCCTATTAGATTTTACGGTACTTATAATATTCCGAAATTTTCAGCTGAAATAGACAGCTTTTTCAGCTATTGTGCATTCCTTTGCTGAGCATGAATTATACAGCAATTAATGAAGAACTCCATGGACAATCTATCGACTATCTCATTCTCTCTCATTTTAATCAAGATACAAAAATGGGCTACATATATAATTCTGCATCGACGTCGTTTTTTATCTCTTTAAAGTTCTGCTCTCAATGAACCAAACGTAAATAGAAATACATCCAAAAAGAATACAACAAACATGTTGCATAAAGATTTTTTATAAACTCTTTGTTATAAATTATCATATTCGTGGTTTTAGATAGTTGACATCATGCATAAATCCAGTCAAATTTGCGTAATAGCTTAGCAGAAAAGTTCTTTTTCATAAAAATCATTACCAATGATGTTGTTTGAGCTCTCGATTTCGATTAGTTTCCATTCATAGAGGATTTGAATGACTATCAATATGATCTGTATGCAATTTATTGATAAAGAAATGCTTATTGAATATTTTTTATTTTTATGTGCTAAGAATAAGAAGGATTTTGTTTCGTTCTGTTTTTATTATCACTTGCTGTAAAAAATCAACACAAGAGAAAAAATGGAACGAATTGTGAGAGAATGCTCACCTGTTAAAAGAAGAAATTATCCTTCTGCACAATCTGAGACTGAACTAAAAATACCTTGAAAGAGAGAGAGAGAGAGATGAATTAAGTTAAAGATGACAACTTTTATTCTGGTAATAAAGGATGTGCTATAAGTTATGAAGTTTAACGAAAATTAATTTATATGTAAGCAAAGAGTGATCTCTATTCAATTATATCTATATGAACAACAAGTACTTCAGAGGATGTTTTAAATGGCATATTATTCAATGACACTATCTCTTGTAATCATAGTGATACAAAACAAAAAAAATGTAATAATTAAAATCTCGAAATCGACCAGTATTTTTTTAAAGAAGTTCTAATAAACTATGAATTCATCGTATGTAATGTAACACAATTATACAAAGCAATACTTAGTATCTAGGCTATGGGTATGTGGATATGGTTATCCTTGACACCCACACACACTAATTATCATGTTTCTTCTGTTTACATCACTATTATTAAAAGAGATAATGTCAATGAATAATATGCCATTTAAAACCTCGTCTTAAGTATTCAAAGCTCATATAGATATAGTTGGGTCGAAACTACTCTTTATTTGCATAATAAACTAGTTTTAGTTGGGACCCAGAATTTATGGGACATTGTTTACGATCAAACGTCATTTGAATTGCTATGAGATCTAGTCGTAATGTCAATCGAAACTGAGAATTAGAATTTACAAGTCTAAAATATTAGTTTTTATTTATATGAAATTTTTGACACTTATATCAACTTAAAAATTTCTACAGAGTTCTGTTGATCGTATTTTTTATGATATGTCACCAGAAAAAAGATGTAGATGACCAATAATCCGTATTTAATGATATCAGTAGCCGAATGAAAGAAAGTAGTACTCAAACAGGACGGATAATGTACATCTAAAAATATATTTTGTTTTATTCCAAAGTTTTTTTTTACAAGAGAATTACGTCAATATAGTACAAACGCTTCCCTTTTGATCTTATCAATATATAAAAGATATAGATTTTGTTCGAGTAAACTTAGTAACATCAAAACAAATCACCTTACCTATGTACCTGACTATATTCCTAAAAAAATGTTTTGTTTTGTTATTGTTGGAAGACACATCATAAAATTATCACTACTACTAAAAATTGAAAGATTCCATAGTCTTCATGAAGAATATTTTTATTATTTTTCTTCTAGAAACTTTTTGTAGCTGTAATCATCTATTTGATGAAAATAAATCATTAACAAAAGCGATATCTCTAATCTAAGCCATAGTTTTTGTTGGCATCAAATTTCAAAGAAATAATAACTTTAATATGAAATATTCAATGTAATGAAAAATTTACTGTATATAATTAGAACAAGTTTGTTTCCTATTTATTTATATGTCAAGAAGTTTCATAGCCGAAAGCAATAAATCTTCAAATCCAACATGTTGATTTTTAACATGAGAGTTTTAATGAGAACTTGAATTTTGCGCATCTCATTAACTACAAGTGTTTCGATCTATTAAACTTCTTTCAAATAGATCTACTAGACACAAGTATTTTAAATCAAGAAGATTGACTTGATTGCTCTGATATTTTTTGAAAACCAATTACTAGCTCAACTCATACTTAGTCATCCGAGTTGTTATTGCGATTGTTATTTACATGAAAAAAAATCTGATTGAAAATCGGAAATAGATAACTCAGAAAATTGAAGTTTAATATAGAAAAATAATCCTAAAAAGTATTTTTAATTTTTTTTTCTCTGAGAACATCTTAATTTTCCTTGAATGCAAATTAAACAATATTTGCATAATATGATGGATATATTAAATTTCCTTTTTTTCCAGAAATGTTTTTTATTATTATTTTTGACTTACGATAAAATTTTGATTCAGCTCATGTTTGAGTTTTTCATTGTTCAAAGATCACAATCAATAATCAATCGAATTGAAAATAATGTATTATTTGTTTTGAGCATTTGCCTTATTTTCATAAGCTTCTTTTTAAAAAAAGTATTGTGTAATTCAACTATTAAATCTGATTATATACATTTTTCCAAGTATATAAAACAATATTTGGATAAATGATAATAAAAAAAGGAAAGTAATTTTATTGGTTTAAATAAGCTAAAATAAGCCACATACAACATTTTGTGTAGCATGTATATGTAATTTGTCTTACACGTAATGATTCATTCTGTAGTGATAGACTCATTATTGATATTCTAATATTTATTTGAAAAGATAAAAAGTATGACTTAAATATGTTCGGTTTTCATGTCTGCATATATATTTTATCATTCTTACATTACTGAAATTCAATTTTCTTTTTCTTTGTAAAATGATACGATCAGTAGAGTTTTCGATAGAATATGTACATATATATTTGGATTTGAAGTTCTCACTTGTTGAAGAAAAGAAATAGCAAGGTTGTGGACCGATCTGTTAGTCGTTCAAAATATTTTACATATAAAGATATTTAACTATGCACGATGGAAATACTTTATTAACAAAGTTTTCACAAGAAATCATGAGCTATTTTGTCAAAAACCATTAGTTCTTTACAATGTTTCTATTTTAAGATACTGAAAAAACAAAACTGGCACAAAAATTCCGCCCACTCTCAGTTATTCAATGAACAATATGTCACAGCTTTACAAAATGAGTGATATAATGCCTTATGTCGTAGTAGCAGATTCCCTACTTTTTGACTTAAATGCATAGAAAACAATAAAACATTCTTACAATAATATTATTTGGTGGAATCAACTTTTGTTCTTTTGATAATTATCTAAAAGCCAGCTGGGCCCCCTCATATACTATATAGCATGATGACAACACTATATATATTCCTGTTGCTTCTTTTCTATAGTAAAAACACATAAAGAACTCTTCGCTATTTTTTTTCTCACCAAATCGGTCAACTTGGTTTATCCTGTTCTGTTCTATCTGTGCTTTCCTTAAGAAAATCGTTTCTTTTTTTCTTCTTTTTTTCTCCGTACCATACAGAATGCAGATTGGTGGTAGCGCTACTCTAGGTTTATCTATGTCTGAATCTCCAGACAATATTGATTATGAAAGATCCTTTTCATCAATTTCGGATGATTCAATATCTTTTAAACAAAAAGCTGAAGATATTTTACATTCGATTGGATTTCGTGCAATGATATTTTTTCAAATATTAGCATATGGATCATATTCAGTATTAGTTCATTTATGTGAAAAAGATGGTGTTATTGCATTTTCATCAACAACAATGAATTTTATTCTTGAATTTGTTAAATTAATTTTTTCATTTGGTGCTTTATTTTATTATACATCTGTTAATATAAATATTTGTCCAAATAAAATACAAATTATATCTTGGTTTAGACAATCATTACCTTATTCAATACCAGGCATACTATATTTTATTAATAATAATTTAGCTGTACATATGCAAGTTCACATGGATCCAGCATCTTATCAAATTTTATCAAATTTTAAAATTTTAACAACAGCTATTTTATATAGACTTATAATTAAACATAAATTAACAAGACAACAATGGTTTGCACTTTCATTACTGTTTTTTGGTGGATTGGCATATAGTTTTGGTATTTAAATAGTTTTATTTTTCAACGCTTAAGAATAGAATAAGAATCGATATGAGTTAAGCATTGAAATAAAGAAGTTACTCAATCATGTTTTTCATGACAAATAAAACAAGAAGGATCGAAAAACACGACGTCTCAACATCTACTTTCAGTGTCTTTGATACCGTATATTCTCAATCCATTAGAGTTTTTAGTTCTTTGTATTCATAAAATCAATATCAGAAACCAAGATTGCTTATAAATGTACTCTTGGTGTACTTTTTTGTTTCTTCAAATATGAAATAATAAAGTCTAGTGCATAAATTAGAAAATAAGCTTCAACAATTTAAGAAAAGAAAAATAATTCTTTTAATCCAAGTCGATAAATATTTTTCATCGCCTATGATGCTAAATTTGGATGAGAATGTTAATAATCCTTCGAAGAGAAAGGTGCTGACTTTTTATCTTGGTTTCTTACTAGAGAACGCTTTGACATCGAAAGGTACTCAGTTGTCAGTTATCGATGATTTCAGTTCCAAATATGACTAATAAATCTCATTAGAGTTTTATATACCAGTTTTCTGAAAAAATGTTTTTTTTATAGCAAGAAATATTTTGTCAAAATCATTTTTTGATCTATCAAGTTTATAGATCATATCAAAATATCAGTAAGTCGATGAATTTTTTCTGTTTTCCAAAAATGAATTTTCAAATAAAATAACATAATTTTGATGATTTTTACATCAAAATGTTGAAATGTATCTGTTCTATGTATCAAAATCACTGAATTCTCTAAGAAAAAAAAACGCTGATTTTAGAACAGAAAATAGTACTGTTTGCTAGAGAATTCGATATGTTCTGGTTTTTTGGAAAACCAGAACATGAAGATCTAAGGAGATTACTAATGATCATATGTGGAATCAACATGATCAATTACTTACAATTCACAAGCTTTCAGTGAGAAAACGATTGACCAGTTAAAAACATTTCCTCGTTAATGCCAGACTTAACTTTATTAAGAAAACTTTCTCTTGCTCCCATTACAAAGTTTAGAACATGATACATATCAATATTGTTTGTTTTTATATTTAGGTACATTGAAAAATTCTTCATTTGTTCCAAAAACAGTAACAACAGATTCAATGATTATACCTGAAATGTATATTCGTCCGTTAGGCGTACCTATGATTGCAATTTATTGCACATTTAGTGGCTTTGCTGGTGTTTATAATGAATGGATTTTAAAAAAACATTATACTGAATCTCTTCATCTTCAAAATATCTTTCTTTATTCATATGGAACTATTCTTAATTTATTTCCAGCTATTTTTTCAGCTACGATAAAATTTTCAACTTTAAGTTTTTTTAATCCATTTCATGGTTTTTCATTTTATACATGGTTAATTGTATTAACACAAGCATTAAATGGTTTATTTATGTCTGTTGTTATTAAACATTCATCAAATATAATTCGTTTATTTGTTATATCATTTTCTTTAATTGTAACGTCACTTCTTTCATTATTTATTTTTCACATAACTTTTAATATTTATTTCTTTATTTCATTCATAACAATGACTTGTTCTCTTTCACTTTATTATTCAAATTAAATAATTATTCTTATCAAATTACTTTCTTGTTCTTGGCAGAAATAACTCGAGGTAATTGATTGGTATCAAATATAATCTTGATATCTTGAAAATGATCTTGTTGGTGATTGAATAATTGTTTGATATGATGAACATTAAATGGAGAACATTCAAAAACAAGATAACCTTCAGGTTTAAGCCATCCATTGATAGCACGATGAATTATTTCAACATAGAATTTTAATGGTGGATCAGCAAATAAAGCAATAGATGGTTCATAGAAGATTCCTCGATCACAATATGATATTTGTTCTTTTGAAATATAAGGAGGATTTGAAATAATTATATCAAATGAAATATTTTCAAGAAATTTTGAGTCGAATAGATTTCCACGATGGAATTCAATATTATGACAATGATGGAGATAAGCATTATTACGAGCAACTCGAAGTGCAGATGAGCTAATATCACATGCATGAATTTGCCAATGAGGAAAAAGATGACAGAGAGTTATCGATAAACATCCACTTCCAGTACCAATTTCAACTATTGATTGTCCTAAAAAAAAACATTTTTATTGTCTTGTCCAAACATAAATGCTCACTAACTGTTTGTATCGTGTTCATAGAGTTGTTGTACATGATGAATGAGACATTCTGAATCTCGACGTGGAATAAGAACATGTCTATTTACAATAAATAATCGATTGAAAAACATTGCTGAACCACATAAATACTCAATGGGAACATGACGATGATATTGATTAATTAAAGAACGAAAAATTCCAAATAATGATTTTGATTTTGAGTATGATATATGAGATTGAGACAAGCGTAATAAATGTTGGGCACGAGAAAATAGCCAACGATATGCATATTCTATGGATTGATCAGTAATGCTTCGACAAAAAAGATGATTTAAAGAGCGCATTTGAAAAAGTATATTTTCATGTATTGTTTACTGGTTGTTTAATTGATCCTATTGATATAGAAAAATCTAAGTAAAACGAAAGAGGTCGTTGTTCATCAAATGAAAACTTCACTTCTTTTTCATATATACCATTACACTTTTGTCTTTTCGATTCTGTTAAATTCCTCTTCCCGCCTCAGAAAAGAGTCTTTTTCGAGAAAAACTGAATTTTGAGATTTTTACATATTCTGATAGACCTTGAAATGAGCTTGAAGCTGCCTTCATTTTTTTGTCAAAAGAAGAAGCTTAGGCTTTATCTCACAAGTATTTTTCGAGATCTCCTACCTGAGAATTTTGGATTTTCGTCGTATGAAAAATGTTGTAGACTTATTATAGCACTTAAGTTATTTTCATATAGATTCCGATGATATTGAATTAATTGCGCATAATTTGTAATTTTGGTAGTCACGGAGAAAAGCTTAGAGTTTTTATATTGTTTGAGTTTTCTTCTCGGTAGTAAAACCTAGGGAGAATTTAGAAAAAAAAACATTTGAGTAGTTAAAAAGATTCT